CTCCTAGCAGTCAAACTGGAACAGCATACAATTAATCCTTCCCCCAATAATGAGACGACACTTCACTTTGAGGGTTAAAACAGGAACTCCAGTGCTGGCACACCCAGCCTGGTTTTTATTACAATCCACAAAACATAGTACAGCCCACAGGGCGTTACAAAACAACCAATCACATCATAGTTACATCCCACATATTCCCTCCCCTTATCCTGAGAGGAAACTCAATTATACATACAGTTAAAACATACTTTCTACCCACTTTCATAACTCCAAAACCATACATCACATTCACATAAAATTACATATTCACAATCAATCCATTCAGGGGAACAACATATTCAAAAATGGCACAAATCAGACAAGGGGTTCAAAAGTTAGTAAAAAGTCCTTTGTGACTAAATGAAGCATGGCTTTCTGGCCCAAACCAGTTTCAGAGTCTTCTATCCTGGAGATAAGTAATTCAATTATCTCCCAGGACAGACACAAGACTCCATTAAGCACATGGTTGCAAAAAGACACAAAACACTTTAAAATACATAAAGTCACCTTTACACATAACACACAGACATTTCACATATCCCCAGATAGCTGGGATCTGAGTGCACATTATTAGATGAATGGCACTCAGATCACACAAATAAGCCTTTCTGCAGGGGAAATAAACGGTTTAACCTGCAGGGCCATAGTCCAAAGGGAGCAGGCGAGCAACCAGGCTTCTCCAGTTCACAGTGGCGAGGTTGGTTTCGCCACACTTCTCCCCTTTACCAACTAGACTAACAGGGTATCTGACCTCCTGCCGGTCAGTGCCCTGGTTAGTCCAGCAACCCACCCACAAAACAGAAACAGCAGTACAGCCCACCCACAATAACTGGTTACTACACCTGGGTAGAGGAGAACTTTGTCCATGTCCAGGTGCCTCACCACGACTGTGTGGGCAACTGTTAGGCTGCCTTGGTGGGTTGCTGAGTGGGCAGAGACCAGCGGTACTCTGCCCTGATGCCAGTGCTACCACGGAAGTAGCCTGGTGGGAGCCTGGTTGTGGGAGGGAGAGACCGACTGTCTCCCCTCTGGATACACCGCTCTGTGGCTGGGGAACAGGACCGACTGTCCCTACCCCTTGTGCTGTAAGTGCACTGTTGGGGGGTGTAACATCTCCCCTTGCTGGGTTAGGCTGCCGCTGGAGAGAGGGTGTAACAAGCTCCTCTCTCTGAACTGTAAACTGCCGCTGGGGAGAAGGGGTATCAGGCTCCTCTCCCTGACACTCTCTCTGCTGGTGGAGAGGGGGACCAGCTGTCTCCCCTTTCATTATTTTGTCCTGTGGTTGGGGTGCGAGACTGACCTTCTGCTCCCTGGGGTACACACTGCCGCTGGGGAGGAAGGACGGTACCTTCAGCTCCTGGGATACACACTGCCGCTGGGGAGGAAGGACGGCACCTTCTGCTCCCTGGGACACACACTGCCGCTGGGGAGGAAGGACGGCACCTTCAGCTCCCTGGGACACACACTGCCGCTGGGGAGGAAGGACTACACCTTCAGCTCCCTGGGAAACACACTGCCGCTGGGGAGGAAGGACGCACCTTCAGCTCCCTGGGACACACATTGCCGCTGGGGAGGAAGGACGACACCTTCTGCTCCTGGGACACACACACTGCCGCTGGGGAGGAAGGATGGTACCTTCAGCTCCCTGGGATACACACTGCCGCTGGGGAGGAAGGACGGTACCTTCAGCTCCCTGGGATACACACTGCCGCTGGGGAGGAAGGACGGTACCTTCTGCTCCCTGGGGTACATACTGCCGCTGGGGAGGAAGGACGGTACCTTCTGCTCCCTGGGGTACATACTGCCGCTGGGGAGGAAGGACGGTACCTTCTGCTCCCTGGGGTACACACTGCCGCTGGGGAGGAAGGACGGCACCTTCAGCTCCCTGGGATACACACTGCCGCTGGGGAGGAAGGACGGCACCTTCTGCTCCCTGGGTACACCTATGAGTCCCCGTAACGCACTCTGCCTCCGGATAGGGCGGCTGATACCTTTGGCTGGATCTGCCATGAACTCCAGGTACTCGTCTACCTGGCTCCTTACGAACTGCACGTATTTCTCCGGGGGGTTGGGTCCAAAGAAAGCCAGCCGCATGGTAAACTCTCTGTCATACTGCTCCTGAGTGTAGCTGGGTGCCATGCTTGCGCTGCTGAAGTTAGTTCTTTTGTAGATAGGGTCGCTGTACGGGTACTAGCGTTGCCCTCAATTTGTAAATCCACGAACTGTGTCTCCAAGCTGCTTTACCTCGCACTAGGACGCCATCCCACCACTTGCCACCAATGTAACGGATCACCTGGCACCCCGACTGGGTACCTCCGTTGAAGGATGCTCCTAGCGCTTCCTGAGGACTCCAAGCACTGCAGCAGACACCACAATCACCGAACCAGAGAAGCATATACCTTCTCTCAAGCATATGAATGCTGTAGACAGTTGAATAGGAACCATACGAATAGGTTTACTCTCCTAGCAGTCAAACTGGAACAGCATACAATTAATCCTTCCCCCAATAATGAGACGAAACTTCACTTTGAGGGTTAAAACAGGAACTCCAGTGCTGGCACACCCAGCCTGGTTTTTATTACAATCCACAAAACATAGTACAGCCCACAGGGCGTTACAAAACAACCAATCACATCATAGTTACATCCCACATATTCCCTCCCCTTATCCTGAGAGGAAACTCAATTATACATACAGTTAAAACATACCTTCTACCCAACTTTCATAACTCCAAAACCATACATCACATTCACATAAAATTACATATTCACAATCAATCCATTCAGGGGAACAACATATTCAAAAATGGCACAAATCAGACAAGGGGTTCAAAAGTTAGTAAAAAGTCCTTTGTGACTAAATGAAGCATGGCTTTCTGGCCTAAACCAGTTTCAGAGCCTTCTATCCTGGAGATAAGTAATTCAATTATCTCCCAGGACAGACACAGACTCCATTAAGCACATGGTTGCAAAAAGACACAAAACACTTTAAAATACATAAAGTCACCTTTACACATAACACACAGACATTTCACATATCCCTAGATAGCTGGGATCTGAGTGCACATTATTAGATGAATGGCACTCAGATCACACAAATAAGCCTTTCTGCAGGGGAAATAAACGGTTTAACCTGCAGGGCCATAGTCCAAAGGGAGCAGGCGAGCAACCAGGCTTCTCCAGTTCACAGTGGCGAGGTTGGTTTCGCCACACCTGCCGCTAACTAAACTGGACAGGATAGGCACCTGCCTACCCACATTATTATAGGTATTCATATAGCGCCAGCTTATTCCACAGCGCTTTACAATATTAAGAAAGAGGGAAATTTAACAATAAATGAGACAATTACAAAATAATACAGGAACAGTAGGTAGATGAGGACTCTGCTCAAGCAGTCTAGGTGAGTGGACTATTACAACATAATAGAAGGGCATCAAGGAGAACAGCAAACAAACACTAATACGTTTTTTTTTTAAATTATTTTAAACACCTCTACAGTTCATGTGTCCCCCTACAGCTCCTGCTTTCCCTCTCAGCCCCTGTGCCCCCTCTTTCAGCCCCTGTGTCCAGCTCTTTCAGCCCCTATGTCCACCCCTTTAAGCCTCTGTGTCCCCCTTTTCAGACCCTGTGTCCCTTCCTTTAAGCCCCTGTGTCTCCCCTTTTATCTCATGTGTCCCCCCCTCAGCCCTTGTTCCCCCCTCTACAGACCCTTTCTCAGCCCATGTCCTCCCCACCAAAGCCCCTGTCCCCTCCACCACAGCCCCTGTCCCCTCCACCACAGCCCCTAACTCACCATACTACATATCCCTCACACTACTACAGCCTTTATTCCCCCATGTGCAGCCCTAACCACACTTTTACACCCCATACCACTACTACAGTATATTTCAGTGATGGCGAACCTATGGCACGCGTGCCACGCCGAGCCCCCTCTGTGGGCACGCGGCCACAGTTCGCCGGAGGGAGGGAGGGTGCGCTCCGCTGGCGCATCCATAAGGCGGCGCAAGTGGCCGCCTTAGGGTGCACCGGCCGGCGGGCGCAAAACCGGAGTGACCGGCAGGAGGTGAGCGCATAGCACACAGCGCTCCCTCCTGCCAGGCACTCTGTGTAGCGTGGCAGAGCGCACCGCGGTACAGGAACTTATGTTTCCTGTACCCGCTATAAGGTAGGAGATTGGGGGGGGAAGAAAACTGAGGGAGAGATGGGAGGGGGGAAACTGAGTGTGGGATGGGGAAAAAACTGAAGGTGGGATGGGGAAAGAAAACTGAGGGAGGGATGGGAAAAGAAAACTGAGGGAGGGATGGGGAAAGAAAACTGAGGGAGGGATGAGGAAAGAAAACTGAGGGAGGGATGGGAGGGGGGAAGAAAACTGAGGGAGAGATGGGGGGAACTGAGGGAGGTATGGGGGAGAAAACTGAGGGTGGGATGGGGGAAAAAACTGATGGAGGGATGGGGGAAAGAAAACAGAGGGGGGAGGGGGGACAACATACACACAGCACCCCTGCCCTACACATATCACCCCACACAAACACACACACATCACCCCACACAAAAACACACACATCACCCCACACACACACCACCCCACCCACACACACCACCCCCGACACACACACCACCCCACACACAAACACATACACTGTACCCCTCAATGCAGTGTATGTACACTCAGCAGTCTGTGTATATGTACACTCATCAGTCTGTCTGTGTGTGTGTGTGTTCTCAGCAGTCTGTGTGTGTACTCAGCAGTCTGTGTGTGTACTCAGCAGTCTGTGTGTGTGTGTACTTAGCAGTATGTGTGTGTGCTCAGCAGTCTGTGTGTGTGTGTATTTAGCAGTCTGTGTGTGTTTGTGTACTCAGCAGCGAGTGTGTACTCAGCAGTCTGTGTGTGTGTATTTAGGAGTCTGTGTGTGTGTGTGTGTGTGTATTTAGCAGTCTGTGTGTGTGTGTGTGTACTAAGCAGTGTGTGTGTGTGTGTGTGTGTATTTAGCAGTCTGTGTGTGTATTCAGCAGTCTGCTAAATACAGACAGGCTGCTAAGTACACACAGACAGGCTGCTAAGTACACACAGACAGACTGCTAAATACACATACAGACAGAACGCTAAATACACATGCAGACAGACTGCTAAGTACACACAGACAGACTGCTAAGTACACACAGACAGACTGCTAAATACACATACAGACAGACTGCTAAATACACATACAGACAGACTGCTTAATACACATGCAGACAGACTGCTGAGCACACACACAAACTGCTTAATACACACACAGAGATGTTAATTAGTTCGGACAACTGTATGAGTTGTTTTTTCTAAACTTAAAGCTCAGTATTCAGGTTTAATTGCCGTTTTGGCACTTTGAGGAAAAAAAATTGGCATGTATTACGGTTTGGGCACTCGGGCTCAAAAAGGTTCGCCATCACTGGTATATATCATCCCCACTATAGCCCATATCACCCAGCCTTTCCCAAATTCGACATACTTCAGTCCCAATCCCCTCACTACATTTCCTAACCCTCCAATTACAGCCTATACGCTACACTACAGCCCCTAGCCGCCTACTACAGCCCCTTACTTTCCAATTACAGCCACTACATCCCACTACCTGTGCCCTTCCAGAGATTAGGTTCTGGAACCGCCCCTGCTCTGTATGCCTGTATCTGTATGACTATATGACTGTGTATGTATTTGTATTCCTGTGTCTGTATATCTCTATATGACAGTGTCTGAATGTCTGTGTGTATGATATTGTACCTGTATGTGTAGATTGTATTGTATGACTGTGTTTGTTTGATTGTGTGCCTGCATATCTCTGTGAATGTGTGCCTGCATAGCTCTGTGAATGTGTGCCTGAATTATTTTGTGTGTCTGTATGGTTATGTGTTGCTATATATCTATGTCTATAGGGAAAATTACACATAAAGAGCCCTGTGGAGGAGGGACACACAAAACGGGCTGGGGGGAGAGAGCCACAGAAAGAAGCTAAGGAAAAGAATGAGATTCAGAAAGGAGAGACACAAAAGCAGATGTAAGACATAGTATAGAGGGGATAAAATACACTAAAGAGGGAAGAAATTTAAAAGTGGGGTTATGAGACATACAGGTGAAGATGCATTTTTTTAAAATGTATCTTCACCTTAGCATTTTGACACCACCCACTTAAAAAAAAATGCGTCTTCACCTGTGTGTCTCGTAACCCCGCTCTTGAACTTCTTCCCTTTTTAGTGTATTTTATCCCCCCTTTACTATGTCTTACATCCTCTTGCGCGTCTCTTACAACTGATTGCGCTGGCCCTGTGAGGGAGGCGTTTACTTACTGTGCTCATCCTGCACAGCTCCCACGTGCACCCGCAGCTGGTAGAGCAAAATAGGGACACTGGGTGGAACACTTCTCTTAATTAATAAAATAAAATGTGTTTGTGTATGAATGATTGTGTGTATGTCTGTGTGTGTGTGTGTGTGTATGGGTCTGTGAATGTATGTTTGTCTGTGGTTATATCTAGAACTCATTTAATGTCAAAATGTTGCTGCAGTTACTTGATGCACTGAATCTTCAATAAATATGCCACCTTATCTATCTTGAGTGCCTGGATTTTATTGCAATTTTTCACTTAGTAATTGGGGTTTACCCCAGTTGATCTTCCAACTGTTTAGTAGAAAATTTGCTAAATTGGTGCCATCTGTGTGGGTTTCCATATTTAAGGATACCAAATTATGGCTCCAAAATGTCTAAAATCAGTATTTAATAAAAATAAGATCTCCATGAAATACTTACATTGACTGTGTTGTAAAGTCAACACAGGGAGTGCCGGGGGTGTAACTAGTTAATATATCTTAGTATGTGCAGCTTTTCAAGCAGAAATGTTACACATACAGACTCCTACCACCATGATCACTTCTAAAAGCAGAAGTGGTCATGGTGGTTGGAGAAACTCTTTTAGCATGCTATGTTTCCTGCAGCTGTTACACTGATACAAATTATCATGACGTACAAACGTAGGGAGTCTCTCAAAGTAACTCTGACAGGAGCTATTACCATAATTTCTTCATTAACAATGTGGTTCTATTAGAAGGGTGTATGAGAACGTGATCTAAGTTACATCATTAGGTGTGACTCATATTTAATCTATTACAATGGAAGCCTGGGTGGGGTTTCCCCTATTAAAATGCCAAGAATATTTGCAAAGTCATTCTGCAATATACATTTATACTAATCGAGTAATAGAAATTGAGATATTACAGTTACATGGCTGAAAATGTCATTTTCTCACATCTATATTATTAATATATCAGAGCAATTAGCTAAGTAACACGTGTATATATATCTGTCTGTCTACACACATTTATTTATATTTAGTTTTTTGATTTTGGATTGTAATACAATGCAATCAATTTGAATTGGACAACAAAACGGATTTCATACAAACATCACATTTTGTTTGAAAGACAGTTGAATCTGTGAACTGTGGGCAATGTAAATATGAATGAAAATGAAGATTGATGAAGTAGCAGTTATTTTCCAATCGCATGCTGTTCCATGGTTACTTTATGTGCAACAAAACTGACAGTAAGTGTAGAGGTGATTGCAAAGGTAAAACAGCCCATCAGCAAGCTCAACTATTGAGCGTGAGGCAAAATAGAACAATACTATTGGATAAAAAGACTGCTTGCGGTTGTGAAAAAATAAACTGTCAGGCTTTGTGCACGGAAATGTCACATAGTACCAGAGAGAGAACATAACTCAGCATTGCTCAGATTGCTTACCACATGATGCAAACCACTAGCAAGCCTTATGATCATTTACAGTATGTTGAAAAGTGCACAGCAGATTGTTGGTTTACAGGACAAATAATGTCTAATGAACAGATGAAATGTATGGAAGTGGAAATAGTTTCTTTTGATCCAAACACAACTGCTGCATTTGGTAGTTAGTGTTGTAGCCAGTATCTATCAAGAAATTACAGTCAATACTATGATAATTGTCTGGCTGAGCGCCAAGGGGTGTAATGATGTGTGGTCCATTTTGGGAGATATAAATATCTTCCGTAACCAAAAAGCATTGCAGATCTCCATTGCTGTAGGCCCATTCCTGGAAAGGTAAAAATATAGGGAAAGAGTAGGGTTGACTATAACATACATTTCTGTAAGTATGCATGCCTAGCAATATGAGTGTTTATGTGTCTGCCAATGTGAGTGTGTCTGGTAATGTATTTTGTCTGGTGGTGTCAGGGTGGTGGCCAATATCCAACAACAGTCCCACCGTTTATTGTCTGATGAACCACAATGGTCAAAGGCTGAGGCCAACCTGGAGAGATCAAAGGCTCTCCTCTGACATTCCCTGACCAGTGGGAAAATCAGAGATCTCTTTCACTGACCAGCCCAGACATAGTGTTTTTCCCACAAGTGTATCAGAGAATTGCCATGGTCAGGAGGGAACTTCAAGCTCAATATGCACCTGTAAAGTATTAAAAAATTTATGAATGCCCCTATACCACTGCATCTACCACAATCAGTTTTCTATTCTGAACTAAAACCTTTTTCTTTTATGTTATTATGGCACTTCATGGGTAATAAACATTTTTAGATTGTGTCTTCCATTTAATGCTTTTCCTTAAAAAGGCTCACCAAAATCCTCAGCAACAGGCCAATGAAGCCCTAATCTGGCTCTCAGTAGTGTGTCTGTTTCTCGTCAGGGTGACCCATTATCGATACAAAAATCATGATGTGAAAGGGGAGAATATTGTCAGCAGTTAAGAAAACTATAAATTACAAACTATGAGAACATTTAACTGTATTTACTTACCTCATAAGACTGCTTCAATCAACATTGCATTTTGTACTTCTCAGAACCATGTATTTCATGCCCCTCTGTGTGTCTTTGTTACCCCACCCCCCAACCTCTCTGAGTATCTTTTTCTCTCCCCATATCCTCTGTGTCTCCACTCCAACACCTCTGGGTATCTCATCCTCAACCCATGTCTGTCTATTTTTCCCCTTCCCAGACTCTTTGTCTCTTTGTTCCCCCTCAGCCCCTCTGTCTCTTTGTCCTGCTCAGCCCCTCTGTCTCTTTTTCCCCTTCCCCAGCCCTTCTGTGTCTCTTTGTTTTTCCCCAGCCTGTGTATCTCTTTCTCCTTCCAGCTACTTTTGTGTCTCTTTCTCCCCTTCCTAATCCCTCTGTGTGTCTCTCCCCCCAGCACATTAGCTCTTTCTTTCCCCAACCCCACAGTGTCTCTTTGTGTCCCCAACCCCCAGCCCCTCTGGGTATCTACTCCCCAACCTCTGTCTATCTCTTTTGCCCCCTCCCCAGATCCTCTTTGTCTCCACCCCAACCCCTCTGAGTGTCTTACCCCCAAGCCATGTCTGTCTCTTTTGCCCCTTCCCTGGGCCCTTTGTGTCTCTTTCCCCCCCCCCAGCCCCTCTCTGTCTCTTTGTCCCTCCTTAGCACCTCTGTCTCTTTGTCCCCCGCAGCCCCTCTGTCTCTTTCTCCCCTTTCTATCCCCCATGTGTGTCTCTTCCCACAGCACCAGGGGGGAGAACTGCCTAGGCTGTCTCTTTCTCCCCCCAGCCCCTCTGTGTCTCTTTGTCTCCCCACTAGCCCCTCTGAAGATCTACCTGCCAACCCCTGTCTGTCTCTTTTGCCCCTTCCCCAGCTCCTCTGTGTCTCTTTTTTCCCCCAGCCTATCTATATGTCTCTTTCTTCCCCAACCCCTCTTGTGTGTGTTTCTTTCGCCCCTATTTGTCTCTTTATGTCCCCCCTGCCCCATCTGTCTATTTTGTCTCCCAAGTCCCTGTCCGTTTCTTTTGCTCGCCCAGCCATTATTGCCCCCCCCCCTCAAGCCCCTAGCTGTCTCTTTTGCCCCCCTCTGGGTATCTACTCGCAGACCCCTGTCTGTCTCTTTTGCCCCCTCCCCAGATCCTCTTTGTCTCCACTCCAACCCCTCTGGGTGTCTCAACCCCAACCCATTTCTGTCTCTTTTGTCCTTCCTCAGCCCGTCTGTCTCTTTTGCCCATTCCCTAGATCCTCTGTGTTGCTTTGTTCCCCCAGCCCCT